GGCAATAGGCAATGTAGAGCCAAAAATTGACATAAATGTCTACATTCGTAGCCCACGTGAAATCCGGTGCTCCGATCGATAGGCTGACAAGAGTTAAGAAAACGCCGCGCCTATCGCCGCGCGCGGCGGAGCGGCGGATTACGATTCTCTTGCCCCTTTGGCTCAGGGGAAAAATATAAAAATCAACAAAAAAGTCCAGGATAAAACAGAGATGTAAACACGCCTAAGCAGTTGTTATGATACGACTGGAGATAATGCTCCAGTACTGACAACAAGTAATGTGCGTTATGATTGTACCAAAAGAGCATTTGTTTGCCAGGCGCTGTTCGGCTTGGAGGGGACACTTCGCACTTTAGCTAGACTGAGAGACCAGCACGGGGTGCGTCTGAGCATGAAGAACACTTTCTCAAATAGACCCCCCCCAATCTTGCCACCTCACCAACTTCCAAGTTTCGGTCAATGCGTAAAACCACGCTGGGGCGCAATGAAGAGAAACGGCAAAATTGTCGGCGCTGTTTGGCTTGGAGGGGGTATTCTGCACTTTCGCGAGTTCTTTTTTCCTAGTTCATGTCAACTAACAGGTTTTACTTTTGTGAGACCTGTGAGCTCCTGTGGAGCTGCACAGTGATGTTAGGGACTTAGGTTTCCCAACCAAGCCGAACTGCGCCGTTTGAAGTTCCACTTCCGATGGTTCGAAATGTGAAATGTCCACCTGCTCCACTGAATTGTGCACCGGACTACACCAGCTCAATCTCGATTCCATCTCAATTTCGTGGGGGCGTGGCCTAAATTGAGGCTAGATAGAACGGGTTCGAACATGGAAGCAAAAAAGGGAACGTTGGCATTGCATAGTTGGATGAGTGAATTTTGCTTTTAGATATTCACCGTATCCAACGAAGGAATGCTGATGTCTCTGCGACCGTTGAATCATACCATTCGAAGTGTCTATGATGTTCCAGTAATTGCACAGCCGGAAAATGGACGGCCATCAACACAACGTGTAGTGGTGAGTTCATAAACTCCACAGCCAGGAGATGGAGAGGGCGTGGCTACGTACTTCATTCTAACATGGCTTAAGATGCGCTCTTTCTGAGACATCTTAATTTGACACAACTGCCATCCTGTCTTGTAAGACAAACAAGTTAACACCTTTGTTCTAAAACGGTAATGTCTCACCACAGAGCGATTGCCACCACGTTCTGAATGGTGTGCGCAGCCACGCCCTTCGTATTTCCGGGATATGGAGTGTGTCTCTGAACATACATATGTTTGTTTCGCGACATTGGAGCACCCTTGTTTCGGTCGCTTTGAGTGCTTCTTTTGAACCCTTAGCTCTTGGGGATCGCCAGCTCCTGGGGATCGATAAATCAATTGTCGATGCGCCATGCATTCGCATCCCAGTAAGGGACCTGGGATACTGAGACGTGTTTTAGATCCATACAAGGGCTAATGGTAGATCTATGAGGACAAGCTCTATGAAATACCACCAGCCTCCTGGGGATCGAATTAACAATACTGGGGCTATCGATAGCAAACCCGGTTAACACAAGTGAAGCTTACAAGTGTAAGCATAGCGCACTTTAACTTACAAATCCTGACTGCAAGAAAGCTCATTCTTCACCTTATATGGCTGCATTCGTGGTAATCGGATGGGCGGAGATACACACCATCAAACCCTCTTTCACTGGTGCATCACAGCGAGGATGAATACGAGAAGGCGCCAATGGAGTAGGCATAATGACTGTGAGTCTCCGCCTATCGCTTATATTCACAGAATTCCATGAATGCTAGTCCTGCTTAGTTCTTTCCAGAACGGATGTTACGGTTTGCGCGATTTAGCACATCATTCATGTCCATAGTTCGCAAACATGGCGTGAGCTATGAGAAAGTAACATCCCATTTGTTCTCCAAAAGGTGTTAACGGCATAGCAATTCTGGTCAAATCGTCCGATTGCTGGTAAAGACAGGCAAGACAGCAATCTACAGTTTACTAAAGACATATTTACACTAGCCAGGGCAATAGCGGAGACTCACAATTAATTGTACCAATCTCATTGGTGCGCCCTTAACCTTACCGTATCAGAATGAATGGACGCACCAAATGAAAAAGGCGATGAAGCCTGTAGTCTCCGCCCTGTTCCTTCGACCCATTTTACCTCACGCATACTTGCCATAGTCTATGAGTAGGAGCGGAATGTGACTGTTAATAGAACTTTCTTTCCAGAATTTATCGGTCAGTTTACAGGTGTTCATCGATGCTGACATTGAAAATGCAGTCATTCCTCGACATTTGAACGCAACCGTTGTGCTAGCCGGTAGATCAGGCGAAATCCGACTATTACCCGAAGGACGTTCGGAAGCTCAAGAAATGCCGCTCCAAAAGACAATGAGCTGTTTGAGGTAAGCCTTGCTCTAAACTGAGCTCTTGAATAATGAACATCAACAGTTTAAAGCTTCCGTTGTAGATGTTAGCCGACTGCCATATCACTGTAAAACAGCCTATCGATCCCACGGGTATAAAAGCCACGATCAACGGTGCTGATAGCGATATCGAACTGAAGACGTTACAAATTTCGGACGGGCTGGAGCAATCATCAGTGCAAGTGGTCCTTTACGCAGCACCTGCAGGAGTTGCCGATTTCCTTGACGAACTTCAGCGCTCATATTCGGACCTGGTAAGCTCTGGGTGGAATTTCGCACCTATTCAGCAAATCTCATTCTTTTTTCCAGACCTTCTATCCATTGGCAGTCGACATCGACGCTGCAGAGCATCGTAACACCCTATCGCTTGCTGTTGTGGATCGCAACCGCCGAGTAATCGCCGCAGACGATTCGCGGGATATCTTGCGCAGTTTCTTCCAAAAAGACGACTTTCCGCATACACTCCTTCAGTCAATGAAGACGTCCTTATGTGATGACTATGTGTGCAGTAATGGAGGTAAATGTCGCCAGATGATCGCACTGCACAATGGAAGCACGTCCTTCTATGGATCGGAGTCCATCTGGAGTATTCCAAATGGAGTTCTCACAACGAGGTAAGAAAATGTGCCCAATGGTAAGATCGGCGCCAAGAACTTCCTAGTTGCGGCGCGGACGGAGGAAAAGCTATTGGGCTGAGATCAGGGCACGCCATCGTTGTGATAATCACAACGGGAGGGGGTCGTATTTGACCGCGAGGGAGGGGGTCGTATTTGGTCTGAGAAAATTTTTTTTTTGATAGTTGATTTCTCTTGTTTCACGACGCTGTAAGGGGGGAGGTCGTATTTGGTCGTTGTTAGAAAAGAGGGGTTGTATGCAGAGCCCCATCGTTGTTGAGGAATCACCAACAGGGGGAGGGGGTCGTATTTGGTCGCCGGGGAGAGGTGGTGCCAATTTCTCACGCGCTTTTCCTTACACATGTGCTATTTTTCCCCCTCCCGCCATCCCCCGCTCGGACAGTTCGCACATGAGGAGGACAGAGGGCCCCAGAGGGGGGGGGGGGTCGTACCAGATTGCCTCACCCAAAGGGGCGTTGCCTGCTTCATGGTGTTATAACTACCTCTTTCCCCCCCCCTTACCTCCGTGGTGGGGCCGCCACCCCCCCCCACCCGCTGGATACGCAAATCGTTGGGGGAAAAACCAGAAATGTTATGCCGGGGGAAAAAACACAAATCTAGTAAGTAGCAGATAGGATGGGTAAGGGGAGAAGGTCGGCGTATCTTTGGCCAGACTTTATCATAAACGCGATGGCCGGCCATGGTTAATGGTGATGAGATGAGACCGGCCCTGGTGGCCGGTCAGCGCGCTCCCCCAGAAAGCGTGAGGTGCGAGTCTGAGCCCCGCCTAAGGTCGAGGCTTTTGCTCACAACACGTCATTCCTGTGGTGACTTCTAGAGAAAGAGGCATTGTAAGCGGGGTCACGTGCGCGGCATTCACACCAGGACCTAATTAGTTCGACGTAACAGCGTTACAGTATATTCATGTAGATTCTTTCGATTTCCAGTGGTATATCGATACGAAAACAGCAACGAAAACATTATACGATGTTTTTCCCTCGAGGGCCAAATAATTAATGCATAAGCCAACTAGCTGGGGGAAACTCTGCTTTTTTCCCGCGGTCAACTAGCTAGGAACTAGCTCTGTTCTTCGCTTAACGGGGGGGGGTGGTCTTGAACTACCCCGCTAACAACAATCCGTGCAGTAGTAGAAATGGGATATTTCAGATGTAAATGTGCATTCGGCTACGGTGGTGAGTTCTGTGATGAAGTGAATCGGATGCGATGGAGCCACTTGTCCTGATGGGCAATGTTCAATGAACGGGAAATGCGTGAAGGACTGTGAGAAATCCTGCACAAAGTAGGTTTCTGCGGATGTTAGGGTCATTCTTTGGACTCGATGGTCCGTTGTTTAGATGCAGTAGTCTGTTTCAACCTAGATGCTTCTTGAAGTGCCAGTTATCGGCACTGGCCATAGGATAGAGCCAAGTTCATAGACTACCTGACTCTTGACTCCGATATGAATCTCGTCCTTAAAGGGAAGAACTCCGCAAATACGGTGCATTTAGAGGGTTCCATTATAGACGACAAGGGGTTGAGATAACTCAAACTGTGTGAACAAAAAAGCACAAACAAAAACATAGCACCTACGCTAGATAGAAGCCCTATTTCGATCCCAGGTTGGACGTATCCCAAATACTCTTCTCAAAACTTAGCCCTATATGCCTGTCTGATTCACCCATAAGATTTTTACGTTCGTACAAGTGGCGATTATGTTTTTCGTTTCTGCAAATTCATTTCTCATGGAGTCGTTCATTTAGCGGCGTGAGCTGGAGCGAGTCACTGGAAAAAGGAGGAGCCTGACTATATTGCCGCTACAGGCTCCCCCCCCATAGAATTTTTTGCAAAGCGAATCGGCCCACACGTATGTTTTCGTCGACCGCTCTAAAACCCTGACGCATATTTTCAACTTCGTAATACTGATTCGGCGGACGCTACCTTTAATACAACCCCGCTGCGCTTCCACTCAAGAATTTATTTCTCTCGCTGTAGATCGAAATCATATGTGTCCACCGACCGCTCACTCTCTCCACTTTTGACGGTCGCGCGAAATCCGAAAGATGAAGGGTTGGGGACTCTCCAAAAGGGGGGTCGTATTTGGTATCCGGGAGAAGGGGGTGTCGTATTTGAACTGAGAAAAATTTGTTTTGATAATTGATTTTTCTCGCTTCACGGACGTGGTGAAGGGCGGGGGGGGGGGACGTACTTGCTGTCATGGCGCCTTCTGGGAGAGGTGATTGACATTTTTGCGGTGATTTTCCTGTTTCATGTGTAGTATATCCTCCCCTCCACGAGCTCGACAGCTCTCGGAAGGAGGATGGCAGGGCATGATAAGGGGGGGGGGGGTGTATGGACTCGAACAAGATCTCCAAGCAATGATGTGCCCTGGAGCGAAAGAGAACTCCAGCTTTAGTGGCCAGCGCAACATAATAGAAACACATTCCGCATGTTCAGAGGGGCTCGGAATCGAGAAAGGCACAACGGTTGGATATCTCCCCCCCCACCCTACGATGAACGCGAACAGTGCCTTTAACAAGGAAGGGTTATTGAGTACTCGTGGCCCTTTCGACGATTTACAGTATCATTACAGTGGAGTGTGCCTTGCCGGAATATGCGAATGTCTGGCTGGCTTCGCTGGTGTCGACTGTTCCATGCGAGTCTTTGGAAGTAACGAACGGAAACAAAAGAAACGACCAGCCGAACTAAAGAAGGCATCGAAGAAGCGTAAGACATCGTGCTCAGAGATGAACTGCGGAGATGGTGTGTGCCATACGGAGGGTGGACGAGCGATTTGTCACTGTGTCGGTGGCTTTCAGGCTGTCGACTGTTCAACAGGTACGTTTACAAGCCTCTACTACTCTCGTTCGCCTCAGATATTCCCCTTTTGCAGCAGAACAAGCCATTTCAACGACCTCAGGATCTATCACTCTTATGCCAACTGAACAACTACGAAAAATCCTTAGCAATGGCACATCATCTCCAGCCGCTATGGAATTCTGTAACAACAGCCGATCGATAGAGATCGATTTTCGTACACGGAAAGCGCACGGAACAATAGTGGCTCTGTCCTACGAAGGACAATTCGCCGTTATTGACGTAATGTTTCTGGCCCTACCTACTCAGCTACTTGTTTACATATCCAGTCTCTTTCTAGGTGCACGCTTCAGTGGTACGTTACCGCGTATTCGACAGCTACCGTACACCCGTAGAAATCACGCTCGGCAGTCAACCAGTGGGCGACGGCAGATGGCATCGAGTTGTGCTCGAACTTAGTGAGGATAGGAAAACGGTAAATGTTACTTGTAATTAGCGTAATTAGCGCGTTCAAAAGAAATCAGTGCTCTTTAAACCCTTCGGCGCTGTTCGGACTGGGAGGGGCACTAGTTCTTCTAGTTTACTAACTCATTTTCACCAGTTCCTTTTGCTAGTTCAAGTTAACTAACAGGTAAACTCTTGTAAAGCTGCGAATTGGTACAAGGGAGCCACTTCGGTGAAAATAATGCGCAGGGCTTCACAAGGTAATCTGTAGGCTTTCTGAGTGCCAGTTGGTGCCCCACCAAAAACCGAATTGCGCCCCGTTTCTCCGCTGAGTGAGAGGCGATCCCATGGGATCGCGTGCGTCGCGTGGGCTGATTGGGGGTGGACTTAAGGCAGGGCTTCAAGTTCTCAAGCCGCTTCAGGCCAAGGTGAGCAGAGGTGTGGAAGAAAACACGGCTGTGAGAGCAAAGGTTGCGCAGCCGCTTCCTCCCCGCTCATCTCACTAGGGAGGGTCTCAGGCGTCGAAGTGGCCATTTGTGATGAGATGTAGATCACTAGACGTGGTTTTGGACGCTGATCTTGAATCTGCCTTCAAAATTTGCAAAGCGATTCTCTGAACGGAGTTATGGAGCCGCGTTTACCACGCAACAGGTCATGGGATCGGATCCCTGCTGAGCTTAACTTTTTTGCTTGTTGCGCAAACGTGGCAAAAAGTGATTTTGCCGTCACTACTACTTCAGTTCTCACCTGAGCTTGTCTGAAGAAAAGTTTTGCGCTCCGTCATTACGCGGGGCTTTGGTGGACTCTGCTTGTAGAAGCACTGTAGTGCACTGTAGTCTACAAGGAGTCCAAGCGCAGTAATAAATGGAGGCAAACTTTTCTTCAGACAAGCTCAGGTGAGAACTGAAGTAGTAGTGACGGCAAAATCACTTTTTGCGCGTAAGCGCGGCTCCATAACTCCGTTCAGAGAATCGCTTTGCAAATTTTGAAGGCAGATTCAAGATCAGCGTCCAAAACCACGTCTAGTGATCTACATCTCATCACAAATGGCCACTTCGACCTGACGACCTTCCTAGTGAGGTCTGAC